TATCATTAAATCAAATGATTAAATTTAATATTAAAAATGAAGTTAAGTTTTTAGAAACGCTTTATTTCAATATGAACAACAAAAATACTTAAAGTCAAATTTCACAATAAGAAAAGCGGACTTTCAATTTTTTACATTAAAGGTTAAGACTAATAAATTAAATTGAATACAATTCAGAGTATCATTGTCTCATCATCCTCATAAATCGCTGTCGCCAAGTGGTAATCGATTGTTTAAATTGTTTTTTGTAGAAATTTGATGGTAGAACGAATATTACAAAGAGGAAAGATGATGGAATGAATGAAATAAAATAACCACAAAGATATAACCAAGGATTTCGTGATGCTTTAACACATGTTGATAATAATGAAATAAGAAAACGAGGAAATAGTAAAACAGCTAATACAATAGAACTAATAATAAGTTGTTTGTGCTCGTTGATTTGATTAAGTAGTTGTTGTCTATAATTAAATTTAGTTCGAGTGGTCGTTCGTTGACGTGCAATGTTTATGATGATATAAACAGCTGAGAATAAATTTATAACAAAAGGAACTACAAAATGAAAATATTGAATAATTGTAGTATATCTTTCAACTGATTGAGAGTAACGAAGTACACACCAAACACGTTGTTCTTCATGATCATCAAATAAATCACGATAGATGAGTTCATAACTCATCGAACCCAAAATTATAAATGGTAAAAGGCAACATACCCATCGTGCAATACATGTACTTCTTTTCTTGTTAAAATTAATTCCTTGAAGGACTGATATTGCTCTTTCTATAGCCACACAAGTATTAAGCCAATTACTCATATTTAAGAAAAGACGAAGTAAAGGTTCAGATACTAAACATCCAACTCGAAGAATATTACGATTAATCAATGGATTCATATACGTGTATATTACAAACCAGAATTTGATAATTAATATAGTAACAATTAGAATAGAAATAATTGATGATAATCGAAGATAAATTCCAGATCCTACTTTACGAGAATCACGATTAAGGAAAACTAAATAACTAAGAAAACCATTGATTAAACCAATGAGAAAAATAATCATGACAAATGTTGCGCTTAATTTAACTACCAATGATTGATCATTTAATGTACTGTTAGGTCGAATTTCGTAACGTAATAAATCATCTAATGTTAATCCAATACCTTTAGCATAAAACTGACATCGATCACCAAAGAAACAATCACTACATAGACATAGAATACTATAAAAACACATAGGTCGATCTTGTAAACATGTTC